TCAAAGTTCACGGTCTAATCTGGAAAACAAACACGAAGCACAAGGCACAATACCACCAGGAAAGCAAAACAGAAATAGGGACTTGATAGAGAGGCAGCACGGTATGATTTAATCATGTGGACTCTGGCATCAGACTGCTTGAGTTCACAAAGCTGTGTGACTTTGGACAGGTTGCTTAGCCTCTCTGGCCTTTAACTGTCCCATTTGTAAAATGAGGTTAATACTGGGACCTATCGTATAGGGTTGTTGTGAGGAGTAAATGAGTTAATATCTGTACAACTCAGGATAGTGCCAAGCTTGTACTAAATACCAAATACAAATAAATCTTTCCTATGTTCTCTGAATTTTAAACTCTCATTAAGAACTCTGTTTGGCTTTCTCTTTGTGCATGCCTGATGATTCTCCCCAGAAAGGACTTGTGACCAAACAACTCCAAAACTGTGGACTCGGGTTAATCAGGGAAGGAAAGGTAAGATTCCTGTCTGTTTGTGGAAAATAATGACCATTTAGCCAAAAGAAAGAAATTCTCAAAGCCAAGAGACACCTAGATGAGGACTGCAAATTCATTCTAAATAACCACTACTCCCTTATCCCTGGTCCAGGGCAGACATGGCTAATCAACCTCAGAATCCTTTCCAACTGAGTCTAGAATCAGGCTCAGAATTGTTTCCAAACAAGGCCCCAGGCAGTGCCAGTCTCTGTGTCTCCATGTCTCTGGCCTAAACCTTACCTTAGGGTCAGCTTCAGGGTCATTTTTCTCACTGGACACACTGGGCAGCTTTCCTGTCGCCCTGCTGCCAGAGGCACGGTGTGACAGCCCTTCTCCCAGGGCTGAAGCCCAGCTCCCACCGTGGCCTGCCAGCCCTCACTCCTGAGAGATCACCAGTCGAGCTGGTTCTACTCTGCCCTCCCTTGTGGGTCCATGGCCACTGGCTAACTCTGTGACCTCAGCTAAGCAAGTAACTTAACCCCTCTCTGAGCCACCGATTCCTTCTTGGTATATAGAACCTCCCTCAAGATTCTCGTGAGGATTGAATGTGATCGTGTATGTGAGCGGCCCCAGCTGGAGTGGGCTCTCGGTGAAGGGTAGGTGCCGTCTTCCCGCCAGCCAGGCACAGCACCTTTGTGACTTCACCCCCAGGGTCCTGCATAACATGAAACAGAGTTGGGGTGCTCCTGAATAAGGCACCGGGGCCCCCACTCAACACAACTACCAATGAACTCAAGGTCATATGGGCTCAGACAGCCGGGAATAGGTGAAGACCAGCGGGATAGGAGGGGTAAGGAATGGGGAGTGAGGGGTGCCTGAGGTGTGCACAGGGACTCCGTCACAGACCTTCTTAGGAAACGATGGGAGGGGGCACTGGAGGGTTTATATTACTCCCATAAGCCGAGAGGGGGCCTTGCACACAGCCCAGGGTGAGACCACAGGGACAGTCCCTCCTGTCTGCCTTCTCCACCTCCTAACTCAGGGCTAAGACCCCCTATTTCTGGAGCCGCTCTCATTACCTCCTCCCAGCTGGACCTCAGTATGGATGACTCACTTATGAGTTCCTGTCTCCTCTTCAACTGAGAGGGTTGTTCCCTGAGAAGCCTTGGCTGTCTCCCTCTGCCTTGTCTTACCGAGTTTGTGTGTGATATCCCTCACCATCACCCAGAGGAACAGGTCCTGCTCCCATCCCACCCCCGACCCCAAAAAAGCAGGCTTGCACCCTTTGGACCCAACCCATGTTCAAGTCCAGCAAGTGAGTCCAGGGCTGGCGTCTCTTGGTCATTCACGGGACAGCCTGTGACCCTCCTCTCCTCTCTGTACCCACCGCTCTTCCTGGGCCCAGCCTGAGAGGCAACTCCTCCAGGGCCCTTCTCTTAAAGGCTCTGTCAACATTTTCAATTCAGGCTTCTCCTTCGAGAGTTTACAAGTCAACTGGCAAACAGAGTGAGCCCAGGTGGAAAGGTGCCTTACAAGGGAGCACATCCAGGCAGAGAACCCAATGCAGCCACTCGGCACTGAAATCTTGGCTAATTTAATATCTACAGTAAACATGGATTTGTGTGGAATGCAGCTGCTTCTTTTAATTGCTCCAAATAAATATCCTGGGTAATTTTAAGAGAGAGTCTGCAGCAGCGCGAGCCTTATATTACAAGGAAGTGCTTCGGGGTATTGTGTGCTGAGAAAGGCGTTACATAAATTGAAACTCCTTTTGCTCAGAGCCGAGTCCTGAAAGTTCATGCCGTGAGAAACATTTCTCACCATGCACAAACTGAATTGTATATAAAATTAAATTTTCTGATTAAAATCTTCATTGTTGGACCTCCTGCTGGCTGCCACCATTTTGCCGAAATAAGATACTATTTGCGGTAATGGCAACGGGGGAAACCTGTTGGTTGTAAACTGGCTTCACTCTTACAGTTTAAAAATCTAGAGAGCTTTATTGTGCAAACATTGCATTTTCCATACAAATATTACAGAGCCAGGCTTTACCACTGATTCATCAGCCAGGGTGCAAGCGGGTTTACAAGTCCGACCCTGACAGCCCTAAATCTCCTGCACACCCAGCCCAGCCCTGGGAGGTGGAAGGCGCCAGCAGGAGGATGAGACGGGCATATATAACTGTCTGCTGTTTTCTAATTTAAAAAATATTTTTCTTCACAAGCGCATTATTATTTGAGTGAGGAAAGAATATAGAGGAAAAGATGGGGCCTAGGAAGAGTTCAAATTTAAGAGACCACCCTCCCCCAACCCCTGGCCCTGGAAACTGACAGGATCACTGCCTTTTAAGGATTTACCCATCCCACCCCCCAGCCCCCAGCCCCTCTCTCTCCACTGCCACCTCCAAGCCCCAGTTCTGAGAATCTCCCTCATAGAGATCAACTACAGCTCTACACAGCATCACCAACAGAGGCGTCCAGGCTAATAATTTTGTTTGACAAATACAGAATCTGGAACCAAAAAATGAAGGTGGTTTTTTCCTAAGAAGGTGTGCGCTCGAAATCAGAACCCCGAGGGCTGATTTTCATCTTTCGCTTCCCTAGCTTTCAGTTCATAAGTGAACTCTCTCCAGAAGTCCGCATCGGCCAGGCACACATAAATATTTTTTACTGCCTTCCATCTGTTAGAATAGATTGTCCCTCTCTTTCGTTTTGTAAACCATTCTGTTGCTTGGGTAATCCAAAACAGCTTTGACTTAAAAAGGAGGAAAGGGTGGGGTGCGGGAGGATTTAGCAAAACGATTGATCCAATTCGGTGTAGCTCGTATTTTGACAAAATAAAGCCAAAACAAACTGATTTCTTAAGGAATGACCTAGTCTGAATACGATGAGTCTCACCAAATCTTTTTCTAGAAAAGAGCATGCAGGTTACTGGTACAACCAGTGCTAGAGTAGCATAAACTAAGCCACCTTCTCTGAGGAAGCAAATGCAAGGGAAGTGGGTTGAGGTGAATGGGAGCTCTAAGAGCCCAAGTTCAAAGGCACAGCTCACCTGGAAGGCACTGAGGTAAAACGGGTGGGATCTCACACACACCCCACGTAGGGCTCAGAGTGTCCTTTTGCAGCTTCTTTGCCCTAAAAGCCAACCCTAGGTATTCATATGCATTCATCTAAGCTGTCCCACCTGTGGGGAAAATAGCTGGGGGTAGAAGCAGGAAGTGCCCAGTAGGGTTCCTGACCCAATCCCCTGCCACCACGTATTACCTTTCTATAGATAAGAGCTTGGGGAAACTACTATTATTATGCCTACTTCTGTTTCAGTTGCATAATGATTTAATAAATTAAAATAATTTGCAAATCTATGAATTAGCTATTTTTGAAAATTATTCCATTGGCTTTCTTTTTTCCCTCTAAACCTCCCTTGTGTTTTCTAGTCTTTCATAGTTTCCATGACTCTAATTAGCACCAACCTGAATTTCTTACATGGTCATAGAGTGGGAAAAAAATATAATCTGTTTCCCTTCTTCTCTTCTTAACTAACCATCCATATATGCCCTCTGTTTGAAAACCAATAATAAAGTGAGTTATAATATTTCATCCACTCATTCAATAATGTCTTGAATTAATGGGGTGCTAAGAGCCAAACTATTATGCCTCTCTCACTCAAGAGTTCTGTCAGCCTGAGGAATACATTAGAAGTCCCAGCTTTACTGTCTTTTAAACAAGGATTTAAAGATCCCAAGAGAGAGACTTCCCTGGTGGTCCAGTGATTAAGACTTGCGCTTCCACTGCAGCGGGCTTGGGTTTGATCCCTGGTCGGGGAACTAAGATCCTGCATGCCGTGCGGTGCAGCCAAGAAATTCTAAAAAATGAAGGAAGGGAGGGAGGGAGGGAGGAAGGAAGGAAGGGAGCAAGGAAGGAAGGAAGGAAGTCTACAAAAAGAACTTACATGTGATGGTGCCCCCTTCTCCCAACTTCACTTCCTTCTTTTGCCTTACTTCCTGCCTCTTTGCAAGTAACCAAGAATCCCTAGTCCTTTCCTTGTTCCCTATAGGGCTCTGCTCCCCAAAGGATCCCTTTCCACGGCTCCATTATCTCCTCTAGTCTTGAGCAAAGATGGAATGCTTGACCTCCCCATACCTCTGCCCAAACTTTGCCTACATTTTTGTTCCAGGCTTCCATTGATTTCTTTGAATAGTCATCAGTTGTTTCTATAAGCAAAAGTCATCAACAATACTCTACCGACTTTCCAGTTTGAGCAAGAAGACATAATGCCTGTCCCTGTATAGAGCATCAAAAGTCAAGAACAGGGCTTCCCTGGTGGCGCAGTGGTTGAGAGTGCGCCTGCCGATGCAGGGGACGGGGGTTCATGTCCCGGTCCGGGAAGATCCCACATGCCGTGGAGCGGCTGGGCCCATGAGCCATGGCCGCTGAGCCTGCGAGTCCGGAGCCTGTGCTCCGCAACGGGAGAGACCACAACAGTGAGAGGCCCGCGTACTGCAAAAAATATATAATAATAATAAATTTTTAAAAAGGCAAGAACAGGACAGATGCATCCAAAAATGATTCAAGATTTAATAGAGCCAACCAGACCCTGCTCATGTGCCCTGGCAAGCACAGCTATCGAGTGGGCAAGCCCTGACAATGGGGCAAGAGGGCACAGCAGGGGTAAGGAGGAACCCCAAGGACCAGTGGTACTGCCACCATCCCACCGCCGAAACCAAGGCCCTCGTGCCCAGGCATATACTGGAGGGCTAGACAGTGAGGCCCTGCCCCCCTTTAGGGGTATTGGTGGAGATTCCTAAAAGGGATGGAAATCTCAGTCTCCATCTCAACAGATGGGTCCTCAGATAGGCATCTGCAATTCTGATGGATAGCCATCACCCAGTTTTCTTCCCCATTGGTTCTCCAAAGGGAAAAGCCAAGCCCCCTCCCTCCATGAACCTACTCTTCCATCACAGATTAGAAAGGCTCCAGGTTGATCAGGCCGATAGCCCTGGCAATCACTCTCTTCCTCAGCCAGAATGGTGAGTTGAAAACCTGTCATTCACCAGCAAGAAGAGGATCCATGTCAGGCTCATCTCCCTTCTTCTCTCTCCCTTCCCTTACCTACCCATCCCTCCATCTTTCTCATGGTATGGAGTGTCTTGTTTCTATCTTACTTCTACTTCTTGTCCCCTTCTTGAGTTCTAGCCCTTTCTTTTAGGTTGGCAGACACCAGAGGGCAACATAATCTCACCTACTAGTCAGTTCTTTCATTTCACCAGTAGAGGGAAGAGTTTGAGAGAACCTACAAGAACTAGGAGGTGTGTGGAAATGATTTTGAAATATGGAATTAGCTAGCGCGATAGAACTGCTCTCTTAAAGGCATCTCGTGCCAAGGCATTCTGTTCCCGTTGGTAAATAATCTGTTATAAAACGGTTGCAATGCATATTAACTCACCAGAGCATGACACTGGCAAAATTTCCCTCCAGGCTATATTTTGCAAAGAGACAACTTTTCATGTGATGTGAGACCTGAGATTAAACTAACAGAAGTCCTACATTATTCAAGGTAACGCTGACACTCCATCCCTCCCTCACTGCTTAGTCTTTTGAGATCTGGTTTTTATTTTGTTTCTGAAATAATTGGTAAGGCATTTAGCCCTGAATGGCTTGTTTTGAGTACCTGTCATCATAGGACTCTAGGCGCTTTGAGGGTGCTTGGAGCTTAGTTGGGCAAGTGAAGCTGAGTCAATCAGAAGAATTGATTACGAACCAAGCAGCAGAGCTCTCGGGGCAATAAGTGCCCAAGTAGCGCCTGCTAAACTTGCAAGAGCCTGCTTCACCAGGGCCTGCCCATTCCGCCATGCATACTGAGGGAATCAGGGCAGGTTCCTTTTGAAAACGGTTTGGAAGGAAGGATTCAGAAGTTAAACTTGTGCCACTGAACTGACCATTTACCAAATAATTACCCTGACCAAGTTAGCACTAATACCTTTAAAAAGTAGACAACATGGAACTAAGCAATCTGCTCAACCATTGCAATTTGCTCAATTGTTTGGATCTAATTACCTGGCCTGTGTATTTTCTGCTTGGTGTCCCCAGCCTTTGAACCATTTCGAAAGCCAGAGCTTTATAGAAAGGGTCTTTGAGAACCCCTTTAGATAGAGTCTGTGATTCTATCCTTCTTTAGATGGATTTTTTTATCCGAGTTGCTGAATTTATCCATATAACTTTGCCTCCATTTCTTCATCAACATCCTTTCTTTGATTAATTACCTAAAGCAAGGGTTCTTATCCTGAGGTCCAGAAGTAGACTTGAGCACTTCCATGAATCCCTTGAAACTGTGAGTAAAATTCTATGTGTATGTACATAATGGTCCTTCAGGTGAGGGGTGAGGGCCCATAAATGTCATCAGATTCTCAAAGGGCTCCATGACCTCCATCTTGCAACGATGCAATCATGATGTTCACCAGACCAGAATTTCCCCAGTCAATGTGCACGAATTTGTTCCAGGTGTGTGCTTGAGCCTCTGATTGCCTCAGCCCTTGAGCGACTGGACAGGGCCAGGCATGGCTGGAGCTTCCAAGCTGCCCAGGCACTATAAAAATATTATTTTCTCTGTGTGCCACAGTGGATAAAATGTTGGAAGCACTACAGTAAATTTTCACTTTTATCACATCCACCATCTTTGTACTGTGCATCTCTTGCTTCATCTCCATGGCCTTAATTATCCAGAGGGAAGCTTGGCACTGATTTGGCCACCTGTGGTATAATCTGCACTTCATATCCTTTACCAGGAAAGCAAGTGGTGTGGTCGTCTCCTCTTCCCGAGAATGCTCCCTGGCACACACAGCTTGGAATTTGCTTTGCTGCCCACGTGGTGGTAAGTGAGACCAGCTCATTTCCCCATTTCCTGGGCTATTCCTTTTGCTAATCCCACGCATCTGACCCTTTCCTGTAGTAGCTCGTATGCCAGTTCCCTAAATGGCTCCCAGCTTCATTACCAGTATTCCTCAAAAGCGCTCTCATGCAAAGATTCTTTCCAACCAAGAAAGACATTAAAATCTTACACAGAACCCATATATAGCCAAATTCAAACTCAAACGTAACCAACAGGGCAGGCAAATTCCCATGACTCCTGGCTGACACAGAGCATCCCAAACTAGCGTGACTGTCCAAGCCTTCCCCTGCCTAGTCCAAAACACACAAAAGTCCTCATGTTCCAGACTGGACTAGCCATCCACGGTCAGTCCAGTCTCATTACCTAACGCTCAGATCACATTGTTTTACTATCACTAATTTCATAATTTCGGTAAACTAAGAAGTATGCCATTCACTTAGAATTAGTTTAGGATTCTGACTTTCATATGAATGACTTCAACAAAGTCTTGCAACTGTCTGCTGTACTTCACCTGACAATTTCAACATTTTGATCACCTAATTCTTAAATATTCTTCCAGCCCACCTCACATTCCTACTAGAGAATGAAACTATCACCTTCTTTTTACCAGTTAGCCAAATTGACAGCCCAAAATGTCAACAACGGTTTCTAACATCTTCAAAACTTTCTTCCTCCCTTCTTACCTGAACTACCTGATCTAGCTAGACACATCCCTCACCTATAACTTTCTTGTCAATACATAATTTCAAAAATACCTTACTTCTGAGAGTAAAGAAATTGCTGCTAATCCATAAGGAACTGTAAGTGCATGTTTCTTAAATATGTAAGTGTAAATGTTACTGACGGGGAGGTTACGTAGGATAAAGTAAGGAATGTGAGATGGAGGGTTCAGGGAGGGATGGGAAGAGTCCACACACTGTCACCATCACAGAGCCCCAGGTGTGCAGATTTCACTTTGCCACCCAAGGAAAGTCTCAAGCCCACAAAGAAGTCTTTTCTTAAAACCTACCACGTCTAATTCTAAAATAAATTAATTATTCTTAGAATATTTCCAACTATAGTTAGAAGGCTTCTCCCACCCGGTGCTCCTGGCCAGACTGTCACAGAGCGTTGTTCAAGAATGTTTATACCAAGATGAGCTACTTCCTTCTTAATCAAACTGACAACCAGACTGAATTCAGGATCCCTTTACTTGAAGGCTATAATCCCTGGTAAATCCTTTAAGAAAGTAGTTGTATCGCTTTTCTATGTATGTTATTTTAGAAACAGAGGGAAATACTTGAATAAATGCCTGAAAATCACCAGCAGTCATTCAAAAACCTATTTTTTTAGACAATATCAGGAGTTACAAAAAACTCTGTGATGGATCCTGAAATAAAAGATATAGAAAATATCGCTTTTTCAAGAATAAAATAACGTGTAGATGTACAAAATGCAAAAAAATTTAATCTTGTTTTTAACATATTTGCTGAGTTTAAGAAAATAAAATGCTCTGCTCCCATCTGCAGCCATTATAACAGTAGATTTACTAGTTATTATTCACTAACCTTAAGTGTGCACTAACTTTCGAAGGGAGAGATGAATACACTTGGGGGTAAAACATACAGTATTTTTTGTTTACTCATGAGTTTAAAGTATAACATTTTAACATCTTTTCATTTTATTTTTGATCAATCTAAGAGCTGAAGCTGCTTTCACATATACTTCTGTTGTTCGACCACCTCTAAGTAAATAAGAAGTGCTTTCTACTTGGATACTAACTTAATATGGTTTTTCAATGCAAGCCTTTTAAAGCTTCAAGAGCATCAATTTGCAAATCCCCCAACAGTCCCGGGAAGGAGAAGCTGTAGGGAAACATGTAACCCAACGGCTCTCACCTGAGATCCAGCATAACGAAGGGACCCCAGCTGGTGGCCTTTCATTTTCTGATATATTTCTCTCTTAAAACATAAACGCACAATAGGAAAATTAAGTAGAGAAACAATTCCATATATAGAATAGCACGGTGGGTTCTGGACTTTGACGCCTTTCAAACCCCAGTTATTTTGTGCTGTAGCCAAGTTGAGTGAGCTGGGTGTCACCTCCGCTTTGAAGCCTTCCCTGAGCCACCCCCCAACTGCCCCTGCCTGCCCCCACCCCGACCGTGGACGATCTGCATTGTAGCACTGGCATATTTAAACTGTCCATATCCATTGGCTTCTACGCCATACAACAGACTCCTAGAGAGTGGGGGCAGTGAGTGCCTCCATCACCTGTGTCCCCATCAACTGCCACAGCCACATGACAGAGAATATGCTCATAAATGTGGAGAGGACAAATACTTATATTCTCCAAAATCCTCGTTGTATTTTCTAAATCCCACTTGGCACGTTTAGACTGAAGCTACTTGCCATCTAGAACAAGGATGAATCAAGCCTTTTAGATTTTCTAGTAAAGCTTCAGGTGGTGAGAAACGCAGGTACTAAGACTCAAAGTGGAGGGAAGCTGGGAAGTAGAGACAGGTATGAGGGGTGCATTCAGGACAGGACAGAAAGAAGGTGAACGGGAGATTCCGAGACTGGGGCTGCTGCCTCATCCCCCCAGTGTCTGCGCCTGTGCTTCTACGAACTGACCTCCGGTGGCTTGGCCTTCTGCCTTTCTGTGGTGCTCAAATACTGGCCCCCACCAAAACCCAAGAGTAAACCTTACACTCCCCCAAGAGGGATAAGGGAACAAAAAGAAACATCAAAACTCAATTTCCATCTTCATCTTTAGACAACACCCTAGTAATATAGTAAGTGCTGATTACGTGTCAGGTACTATGCTAAACGTTTTATAAATCATGTCCTTTTTTTGGCATGCGGCTTGCAGGATCTTCGTTCCCCCACCAGGGATCGAACCCAGGCTCAAGGCAGTGAAAGCGCCGAGACCTATCCACTGGACCACCAGGGAATTCCCAATCATGTCATTTTACTTATTTATTTATTTATTTATCTATTTATTTATTTTTTGGGGGGGTCTTCGTTGCTGCGCGTGGGCTTTCTCTAGTTGCAGCAAGCCAGGGCTACTCTTCGGTGCGGTGCGCGGGCTTCTTATTGCGGTGGCTTCTCTTGTTGCGGAGCATGGGCTCTAGGTGCGCGGGCTTCAGTAGTTGTGGCTCGTGGGGTCTAGAGTGCAGGCTCAGTAGTTGTGGTACACGGGCTTAGTTGCTCTGTGGTGTGTGGGATCTTCCCGGACCAGGGCTCGAACCCCTGTCCCCTGCATCGGCAGGCGGATTCTTAACCACTGCGCCACCAGGGAAGCCCAATCATGTCATTTTAATTCACACAACAATCTAACAAGTTAGTTCTTCTTGTTAACGCTTATCCCCATTTTATAGAAGAAAAAGCTGAGGCTTGAGGTTGCTAAGTAATTTGTCCAAGGTCCCAAAGCAGGAGAGATGCAGGTTCAGGATATGAAACTGTAGTGATTCACAGCCCGTGTCCATGAGAATTCTTTCCTGAACCTCAATCCTGGATGACACCATCTCGATTCTCTCCCTCACAGATGTTAAAGTTAATATTTAGGGGAAAGGAGAAAATGTTTGCTACAATCTGACCGCTGCTCACCTCTGAAAAAGAAGTGACAAAAGGCCAGATGTCAGCTCCAGGCCCCAATGTGTGTTAAAACGGTAAGAAAATCCCCACGTGACTGGATCACAATAGCCCATTCTAGAAAATTCTGAAACCTGAGGTTCAAAGCAGACTATTTCTGTTTTTAAACAACAGCTCCATTGGCCTGCTAGCTTCAAACCCTAGCATCTAATTTGTGATCCTGCGAAAGCCTGTTAGGAGGATTTCCATATAAAAGCATCCAGCACAATCAACTTCTGGCCTTTCCCACACACAGATCCGCAGGACCAGGCTGCCTCTCCAGCACGCCAGGGGCACTAGGTGTTTAATTTGGAATCTGATAGCTGCCTAAATTTTGAGGTATCCCGTAGGTGCCGCACACAAAGAATCCTCAATGGCCACTGGCAGAAATTCTTAGAAAAACAATCCTCCTGGTTGTCGGAATCACAACTACCACTTTCACTCCCCGCCTCCCTGTCATGGAAGAGGCTGTTGTGACTTGAATTACAGGGGCCCATGTGGACTACCTGCCGTCCAAATGCGCATGTGACAATGGACACTCCTTTGCTGGCCGGCGGTGTTATTTCAGACACTGTTGGACAGATGGGCTCCGTTCCGAGCGGGGGAAGAGCCACACCTCGGAGATGACATGTTTTATAGGGCTGTCTCCTCGCCGCACACAGAGTATCCTCATCATTTTGCCAGGGTTGGGGCAGATATCCGAACATCAGAAGGACAGCTTCTCCCCAGCATCCTGTCTCCAGCCTCAGGGCCTGCATGCAGTTTCGGGGATCCTGGTTGTCGGCTGGCCCCCCGCCCGCTCCTGTGGCTGCCATGTGTGGGGCATGTGCCTGGGCCTCGACAGCTGTTGGAACACAGTAAATCCATTCATACTGACATATCCCAATGACTAACACGGGCTTAGCGAGGAAACAGAAGCGTTTGACAAGCAGAAACAACTGAATTACTTTTAGAGGGGTGAGGAAATGACACCCCCAAAGGGCTTGATCTTGCCATTTGGCTTGGATGGGGGGACTCACCATGGGAGGCCACCCGGATGTCACCCCAGCCACCTACCATCATTAATTCTGAGCAGAAAAGGAGCCCGGCCGGTGTTTCAGCAACAGGAACGAGAGGTCTAAAGAGATGGTTATTGGAGACCACGCTGGACATGAAGAAAATAAATCACTCAAACCCAAAGGCTTAAAGTGAGAGGCAGTCTCACTTTGTAGTTTGGAATGTGGGCTTTGGAATCAGACAGAACTGGGGTTCAAATCCTGGTTCTGCCACTTATCTCATGATGAGCCGTGAAACCCCTAAGCCTCTGTTTCCTCGCTTGTAAAATGGGGTATGATAATGGCATTCCTAGCTAATGGAGCTCTTTCAGGAATGAGTGAGACCATCGGATAAAGCATTCAGTACGGTATGTGTGTGTATAAAGCCTGATGTACAATAAGCACTTAATTAACCGTAGGTAGTAATCATAATAGTACATTTCAGTGAGAGGACAATGAACTTTGTGTTTGTCCACACATGCAGACATGTAACAGGATTCACCTTGCGCTAACTGATGTAGCTCCTGAAGCAGCGTGGAATCCAAAGGAAGCTCGACGCTTACTGCTTCAAAACACACTTCCTCATCAGGACCCCACCACCGCCACCTTCTGCAGAACCTGGATCATGAGGTGAGTTGGAGAACCATCTAGGGCCCCACCAGGCTTGGTGTTCTGAATCAGACCTCAGCAAACGCTCTCCTGCCTAATGTGGGTCATTGTTAAGAACATGTCCCCACGTCACTGCCATAAACTATAGGGCAGCAATATGCATGGATCTTCACCCATGGCTTTTGGGATGTTTCAGCCCACGGAACCTACTGGACTGGATGTTATTAACAGGTACCATACAAATAGAGTACTCCAGGTTCCCTCCATGCTACATCAAGTGCACAGGATTTTACTCCCCTGCAACAGCAGTTACCATAACCTCCACTCGTGGAGTGCGCCTACTGATGATGTTCCTTTTGGACATCGTAAGTCCACCAGTCAGAACCCACCAGAGCCCCCATCTCGAGCCAGCAGAACAGGGGAGTATGTCTTGTTCACCCCAGCTGTCTACCCCAGGAAGCTGGCCAGGGAGGTCACGGACAGGGCACTTTATAACCAACTCGGATGCAATGAAAACGGGAATTACCCATGATTAACATCTAGAAATAGGCTGGAGAGAATATGACAGGAAGAGAAACATAAATCTGATTATGCAAAAGGATGAAAGTGGAAAGCTTTGGAAGAATTCCGCTTGCTTCCAGGAGGGCCTTCTCCCATGACCTCCTCCTGCGGCCACGCCAGGGCGGGCTGTGTCCACAGCTTCCCCCAGCTCCCTAACCGCCAGCTCTAGCTGACTCTGCTCATCCTTTCCTGGTCCTGCCTCGGGCCTGTGGTCGGGGCATCAGGGTTGCTTTGGTTCTTCCTTCAAAGTTCATCACTAAAGAGGCATCTTGCTTTCCCTGCCATATTTTAGTTGAAGCTCATATATTTTCTTAATGACAAAAGTATGAAAACTGATGTGGTTCAATGGTCCTCTCTCTCCCATCGTGACCCAGCAGACACCCAGTGCTTGCTCCCTTATGGGCCTCCTTGTTTCCTCCTCCTTCTCCACCACTGACACTCCTTATTTGCTCTGGCAGCTGTGTACCTGGGGAGCATTCGAGTCTTGCGCCGAACCAGCACAGAATCTACTGAACTGAACCTAGCGGCTCCAGGTTTCATTTTAGCCTTCCCCCTTCCATAGTTCTAACCCCCTTGACTCTTTACAGCCACTAATCAACGCCAACTGTTTGAAGATGCAGGACAGAAGAAATTCTGAAGGCTGCCGCTTCCTTATACCTCCCTGAGAGCCGTCTTTGAGGATTTAAGGCAAGAGAATTATTGAAACACATTTCACTGATTTATTATTAATTGTCCCTTGGGTAAGCACAGAAAGTACCAAGCAGAGGAAGGCTGCATGACTTGTGGTCACTGAAACACTTTCAAGTGTCTGCCCAGATCCTGAATTTCTGCCATGAACAGGGGAACCAAAATGAGGAAACACAAGTTATAGAGATTAGACTCCAGGTGAAGAGGAAGGGGGTGTAGGAAGGAGGTGTGGGGTACAGCTTGCTGAGTAGTGGGAGCAGAGACCAGGCAACTGAGGCAGCTGGCAGAGGAGGGAGGTGGAGGCTTGCTTTGGGAGCGAAGCCAGAGTCTACTGTCAGGGTGTGGGATCCAGAAAAATCCCACCGGTTAACATGAATAAATGCCCACCAGCAGAAGGACAAATACTGCTTCTGGTCCAAGAAACAGAGGCCTGAATGGCCAAGGAAAGTAGATTCTTATCTTCGGGCAAGGGCCCAGCGACACACCAGCTCAGAAACATGTCCCAAAGGAAGGGAGCATCGTTACTGCCAGCTGAGCATCTCCGAACCCCCATCCATGGAGGAAACAAGACGTGGGATGAGAAATAGGTGCACGTGCGCACAAACGCACACACAAGAAAATAAAAGTGTTAGCCTGCTGCCTGATCACACCCAAATAAGGCAGACGTGCCCCAACCAGATGTACCAGGCCTCTTCCAGAGAACTCATTTGTTGTGGGCTGATTTCTACTTCCTGGTGCAATTTACTTGGGAAAAGGGGCCTTTCATTGTTGATATTTTGTGAACTGGCCGGAACCAGATAGACAATAATGACTTTACAAATCTGATTTTGCAGAATCTGAAAAACACCCCTTGACTGTCGGTCCTCAGTACTTCCTTTCTGCTCACCCAGAGTCTTCTATCTTTTATTGATTAGCACAGGCATCGCATGAGCCCCTTCTTAGGGCAAGGGACTAAATCCAACAAGAGGTACCATGTTGTTTTCATTCCGCAAGGATTTCACAGGTAAGTTCCACACTGTGCTGGGGGGTGAGGGGGGATTGTTTTTCTCAAAGGCAGAAAACAGTCCACGTGCTTGTGGTTTTCTACTAACTCAACCTTTACTCACACTTTGCCTGATCTATAACTCAAACTCAGTAAACAGGCCTTTTAGGGAACTTGTAAAACCTAGGATACTTTCAGACAATTGGATGAATGTGGAATAAATCAACTATGAGGGAATAAAAACGATTTGGTTGCTATGTGAGATATATGTGTCTTCAAGTAGTATCACTGATCCTCAATCTCCTCTGAATACTAATTAAAAAAAAGACCCAGGGCTTCCCTGGTGGCGCAGTGGTTGAGAGTCCGCCTGCCGATGCAGGGGACACAGGTTCGTGCCCCGGTCCGGGAAGATCCCACATGTCGCGGAGCAGCTGGGCCCGTGAGCCATGGCCGCTGAGCCTGCATGTCCGGAGCCTGTGCTCCGCAATGGGAGAGGCCACAACAGTGAGAGGCCCGCGTACCGCAAATAAATAAATAAATAAATAAAGGGATCAAGATGGTAGATTTCATGTTATGTGTTTTTTAATCACAATAAAATAAATGCAGATATTTAAACAATTATCAAGATGACCACAGCAAGTGTGGAAAAAGTGGAAACAAGAGTGGGACAGTTTTCTCATTTGTTTTCATGGACAGTTTTGACAGCTATAAACTTCTACCAACAAAACTCAGGAGTACTTTCACAAGAAAGGAGTTCTGAAGGGTGATGTCACCAGCAAAGTCCCCATCAATCATGACAAGTGGTTTTGCTGATAGATGGCTACTGCCTGGCTCTCCCCAAACCACTGCCCTCCAGCATGGCTTCACTGTAGTTCCCAGTCAGAAATATCGGGGTTGGAGGGAGGAGAGGAAGGAGAGAAGGGGGCTGGCATTTACAGAAGACTGGTGCCAGCTGCTTTACAGAAGCTACTGCATTTAATACAAGTCAGTGAAGTGCCTATTTACTATAGCCTTTTCATCAAGAGAAACTGAGGCTCAGAGAGAGCAAATACCTTGTCCAGGGTCATGTAATAAAGACCTGATTTGTCTGTTTCCAGAGCCCAGGCTTTTTCCACAACCATTTTGCCCTTGATCTCTACAACTACAAAACCAAGAGCCAACCATCTAGAACCCTGAAGCAAAGTGTTGTTTTTTTTTTTTTTCTGTGCCCCATTTGAGAGCTTAATTATAATATAACTAGAACCGGGCTGGAAAAGTGACCTCATGTGTACTCCCTAGATCTGAGATCCACCTGCTGCGCAGGGGTACTGCGGAAATGGGTCACTGGTGTGCCACGACCCTGGGCATGTCCTCAGCCGTCGTCAGGTCAGTCAGGATGCAGCCTGGGACACAGGAGTGCACTTCAGATGGTGAGCAGCTTTGTCATTTACCCGCTTGTGTCATAAAACATCACTTCCTGTGAATGCCGTAAGTGACAAAACGTGGGAAGCATTCTGCCTTGGATTTAGAAGCAAACTGCCTGGATTAAAATCCCAATTCCACCGCTTCATAGCCGCACAAGCTTACCTGTGTGTGCCTCAGGCTCCCATCTGTAAACTGGGAATGGAAATAGCACTTTCCTCATGGTGTAGTGAGAATCAAATAAGATAAAATATACAGAGCTGTCAGCGTACCATCTAGAAGTAATCACTCAGCAACAATTCGCTGAGCCGATGGGTACAGCCACACGCGCTCTGTGTGCCCCAACTCCAGGGCACCATTCACTCAGGCCGTAGTGTGAATAGCACCCCCTGGAGTTGTGCAACTGTGCATCCCTGACCGTTAGCTTTGCATTTTAATGACCGTCTTCCACAGTCAAGCTCCAGCTTACTCCCCTGCTTCATTATCTGCCACTAGCTCCCCAACCCCCATCCCAGGGACCATCTTACCCTCAAACACAACGGTCCCATTTACAACCCCTTGGATTTTCATCTGTGCTCCTTCTTCCTGGAATGTTCCCCTGCTCTCCCCTGTTTCCATTCTTATTCAACCTTTAAGACCCAGACTAAAAGAAGTCCCCTCCTCTCTGAAGCATCCTTTGATGCCCAGGCAGGTTGCCCCACCGTCAGTATTCCCAGAGCACTTTGAAAATACTCTAGTAGAAAGATCAGCATGTTTTCATGTGGTTCACACAGTTCATCTGCATACAGGTCTCCCTTGCTGAGCTGTGAGCTCCCAGCGCTCAGATGGAATCTTCCTCTTCTTGGCATGGACTTGAGCAACCCGCCCTGCTCCTGTCCTGCAGCCACATCTACATCACACGTTCAGAAGACGAGGCTGAGAGGGACTCCGTATTGTCAAGGCAAGTGTGGGATGCAGCACGCAGACCAACTTCGGAATCCAGGAAATACCCTTGACCGTGTCCAAGTGAGGCTCATGTCCCCTGAGGATGGCACTAAACGCAACAGAGGTAACGGGGCCTCCGAAGGAAGGACTTGTGGCCTTAAAGTACCCGGTCCCCTGGTACAGGAGGTGCCAGGCTGCCAGCAGTTACTTAGGATGGGCTTTGCTTGATATATGAGAGTGAAAACCAGGAAATGCGGCCCAGTTTCTCTTTTGAAATCCCTCCCTTGGTTAGATTTGAATCTCTTGTCTGTATGCTTTGTTTCAAACTAAATATCAAAAGTCTCTCGCTTCTGTTATCTCCCTGACAGTTCTTCAATATACTGTATTAAAAACTCTCCGGGGACCAAAAAAATGCACTTTCAAGTGGTGTTTAGAAACTTGCCACCCCTTGCCTTTCTTCATTTCTGAATCTCTTGGATGCTTCATAAACAAAGGAGAAAAGTGCTGCTTCTGTGATAAATACGTACACAGGATTCCTCTGTCTTACAGAGAAAACAGTACAGACCCAGCTGTTTCCCAATAGTCATAGGACTCATACCTAATGCCGACAGACTACCAAGCGTATCTGCACAAACTCTATCACACACAGCACATGGAATCTCCAGGTGTGGCCGTGAAAGAAAACGGCATGTTCTCCTTGTCAAAAATTGCCCTCTCCTTGCCAGCCCCCTGCACCAAACTAACAACCACAGGACCTGAATTTAACAGGTGATGTTTCCCTTTGTTCTTCTGGATGTTATGTATACTCAGGAGTAGCTCTCTCTGGGTTGTTCAAACACTTCATTTATTTATTTAGTATTTACTGAGTATCTACTATGTACCCCACATAGTCATGGATTAAAGAGATTCTTGCTTAGCTTCTGTATTAGGATTTCTCAACCTTGGTACTGTTGCCATTTTGAGCCAGAGAATTCTTTGTCATGAGGCTGTTCCATGCCTGGTAGGATGTTTAGCAGCATCCCTGGCCTCTACACACAAGATACCGGCAGCACCTCCACCCCTAGTCGTGACAACCAAAAATATCCCCAGAAGTCAGTGAAAAGATTTAGGGGAGGAGAGAGGGACGAAAAGGTAGAGCACAGAGGATTTCTAGAGCAGTGAAACTATCCTGAATGATACCATAATGGTGGATACGTGTCATTATACAATTGTCAAAATCCATAGAATGTACAATACCAAGAGTGAGCCCTAAAGTAAGTCTCCTGCCCTGGGGACTTGGGGTGATAATGATGTGCCAGTGTTGGTTCGTTAGTTATAACAAATACGCCAGCCAGTCCCGTGTAGGCTGTTGATAGTGGGGGCGGGCAGAGGGTAATAGGAGAACCCTCAGTACCTTCCCCTCAACTGTGCTGTGAGCCTAAAACTTCTCTGAAAAATAAAGTCTATTAAATTTTTTTTATTTTAGGTGAAAAAATGTTTTCAAGCATTGCCAATTGTCCCTGGAGGACAAATTATTTTTCATCCTGTTATAGACATTATCCTGCTCACAACAATACATTTTTTTAAATTGTGGTAAAATATACACATTATAAATTTTACCATTTTAACCATTTTTAAGAGTCTGTTTCAGTGGCATTAAGTACATTCACAGTCTTCTGTGCCATCACCACCATCCATTTCCAGAACCTTTTCATCATCCCAAACTGAAACTCTGTGCCCATTAAACACTAACTCCCCATCCCACTCTCCCCCCAGCCCTGATAACCTCTCTTCTACTTCCTGTCCCTATGAATTTGACTACCCTAGGTACTTCATTTCAGTGGAATCCACAATATTTGTCCTTTTGTGTCTGGCTTATTTCACCGAGCATAATGTCTTCAAGGTTTATCCATGTTGTAACATATGTCAGAATTTCCTTCCTTTTTAAGGCTGAATAATAGCCCATTGTATGGATACATCTCATTTTGTTTATCCAGTTTTCTGTTGATGGACACTTAGGTTGCTTCCATATCTTGGCAATTGTAAATAATGCTACTATGAATATTGCGGTGTATATATCTTTTCAAATTAGTGTTTTAGGGGTTTATTTGATATATACCCAGGAGTGGAATTGCTGGGTTGCTGGGTCATGTGACAGTCCTATTTTTAGTTTTTTGAGAAACCTCCATACTGTTTTCCACAGTGTCTGTACCAATTTACATTCCCACCAACAGTGTACGAGGGTTCCCATTTCTCCACATCCTCACCAACATTCGTTATTTGTGTTGTTTTTGATGATAGCTTTTCTGACATGTGTGAGGTGATACCTCATTGTGGTTTCTTTTTTTTTTTTTTGCGGTACGCGGGCCTCTCACTGTTGTGGCCTCTCCTGTTGCGGAGCACAGGCTCTGGACGCGCAGGCTCAGCGGCCATGGCTCACGGGCCCAGCCGCTCCGCGGCATGTGGGATCTTCCCGGACCGGGATACGAACCCGTGTCCCCTGCATCGGCAGGCGGACTCTCAACCACTGCGCCACCAGGGAAGCCCCCTCATTGTGGTTTTGATTTGCATTTCCATGATGATTAGTGATGTTGAGCATCTTTTCGTGTGCCTGTTGGCCATCTACCTTTCCTCTTTGGATAAATGTCTATTCAGTTCTTCTGCCCATTTTTAAATTGGGTTGTTTGATTTTTCAATGTTGAGTTGTATGAGCTGTTTACATATGTTGGATATTAATCTCTTATTGGTCATATCATTTGCAAATATTTTCTCCCATTCAGTAGGTTGTCTTTTCATTTTGTCAGTGGTTTCCTTTGTTGTGCAAAACCTTTTAAATTTAATTAGGTCCCATTTATTTACTTTTGCTTTTATTTCCTTTACTTTAGGAGATGGATCCAAAAAAATATCACTGCGATTTATGTCAGAGAGTGTTCTGCCTATATTTTACTCTAGGGGTTTTATAGTAGCTGGTCTTACGTTTAGGTCTTTAATCCATTTTGAGTTTATTTTTGTAAATTATGTTAGAGAATGTTCTAATTTCATTCTTTTACATGTAGCTGTCCAGTTTTCCCAGCACCACTTACTGAAGAGACTGCCTTTTCTCCATTGTATATTCTTGCCTCCTTTGTCATAGATTACTTGACCATAAGTGTGTGGGTTTATTTCTGGGCTTTCTATCCTGTTCCATTGATCTATGTGTCTGTTTTTGTGCCAGTACCAAACTGTTTCAATTACTGTAGTTTTGTAGTATAGTCTGAAGTCAGGGAGTGTGATTCCTCCCTCTCTGTTCTTCTTTCTCAAGATTGCTTTGGCTAATCAGGGTCTTCTGTGTTTCCACACAAATTTTAAAATTTTTTGTTCTAGTTCTGGGAAAAATGCCATTGGTATTTTGATAGGGATTGCACTGAATCTATAGATTGCCTTAGGTAGTGTGGTCATTTTAACAATATTGATTCTCCAATCCAAGAACATGGTATCTCTTTTCTTCTAAGTTGTCCATTGTATTGGTATATAGTTGTTCGTAGTAGTCTCTTGGTAGTAGTCTCTTCAATAAGTGGTGCTGGGAAAGCTGGACAGCTATATGTAAAATAACAAAACCTGAACATTCTCACCCTACCTGGCTTGAAAGTAAGAAATGAGGCAAGAACGTCCATGTGGAGCCACCAGTACAGCTGCACGTGGTGGAGGTCCAGTCAGTGCTGGCCCTCCTCAGACCTGAAGCAGTCACAGTCACAGATGTTTCCAGTCTGGGCAATATCCTCTGGCACATGAAGTAGCTAGGGCCAACCCTGCATGGTTGCTGCCCAAGGTCTAGTCCCCTCCCCTTCTTCCTCTCTTACCAAATCCTGATTGGGTTTGGATGGTCACCTGCCTAGTAAAATATTCACTTCCCACATGCCCTGGCGGCTGGGTTTAGCCATGTGACCCAATTCTAGTCAAGGAAATGAAAGAGAAAATGTCCAGGTGAGGCTTCTTTTCTTAAATGGTTTTTTATTTTAGTTTTGGGATATGAAGACCTGTTTACATGATTTGAAAGTCAAGAGTATGAAATAAGGTACATTCACAGTGGTCTCACCTTCATCTTTGTCTCCCATACCTGTTCTTTCCTCCCCCTTTAGATGTAGATGTGTTTGTTTGTTTCCCTTGCAAATATAAGCAAATGTCTGTGTATTTCTTTCCTTATTTTTTACATAATAGGATATATATCAATATATCTATATCTATGTTGTTCCCCTTGTTCTTTTTTTTAATTTCATATTCTTGAATCTTGGAGATCACTCCATAGCTGTATGTGTAGTGCTTCCTCATTTCTTTTTTACTGCATAGTGTTTGACTGTGTGGCTATATTATGAATTATCCAAGCAGTGACTTGTTGGTGGACGTTTGGGTTTTTTCCAGTTTTTTTAATCATCAGTAATGCCACAGTGAATAATCTTATGCATGAGTCATTTTCTATTTATGCCTGATCCCATTTGGGGTAGATTCCTAGACATGGGATTGTTGGGTTGAAGGGTAATAACATATATAATTGTGCTCTATCTTGCCAACTTCTCTGCCTTGGGAGTTGTACCATTTTGACTTTGCAGACCTTTTTGTTTTTCCTTTGCTCTTTACCCATCTCCATTTCCAGTCCTCCACTGCCTACCACTGCCCTTCCTGTATGGGAGAAACATAAACCCTTCACCTGTGTAGCCCTGGTTATTCAGGTTCCTATAACTCACAGCCAAAGACAATCATAATCATTTGGATACTGAGTAAATCTAATTAAAATTATGTTATATTAATTGAAAAGCTTGTAACTGATTAGTAAGTTGGTATGTACTACAGGCTCCACTGTCCAACATGGTAGTATTACTGGAAACATAACTCTACATGAGATTAAGCTTATCTAGCAAACAGTTAACCCAGTGTCACCACATAAGATGTGACCTGCCTCGGCTTTTTCTGTTATGGAAAAACCCACCCCCTGTGGCTTTCTGCCTTCTCCTCAGGATGTCTGTACTGTGGGAGGGGTAGCCTTTAGGTGTAGCCTTATACACAGTGCAAGTGTCTCTTTCAGGAATAGAATTTATACCCCCCCCCAAAAAAATGTATGGACAAAATCAGAAAACACAATCACCAGAAGGATGATCAACGTGCTATGAAGAAGAGACGATTTCATCGACAATGCAGAAAATAGCCCAGCCCCAAAGATGAAGAGCACGAAAGAGGAAAGCTCAGAGGAAATTTCTGAGTAGACAGCCCACAGGCTTTGAGAAAGGGCCTTTCCACCTCTACTTCAGTTTTGAAGGGAAGAGCAAGGGCTGAGATGCAGAACGCAAGGAGGACGTTTGCAAGTTCCTGAAGCTTTGGGAGTTTTCACACGGTGTGGATGCCCATATTGTGTGATCGGATAAAGTGGGATCATCTGTCAGCCTGTCTGTTCACATAGCTATGCTATTCATAGAAAATGTACCTTTTCCCCCAAATAAATACCATATGCCTCTTCTCTTACCTAATTGGGTGTGTGTATCCTAGGGACCTGTGGCATGTAAGGGGAGGGGATCATGCCAGGTGACTCAAGTGGCCATTTTGGGCTCTCTTGTAGAACATGCTTCAGGATGAGAAGAGCAACAGGGAACCATATTAGTTAATAAATTTGAAATGAGGTTTGACTCCTGCCATCTGCAGCATCATGAGGAAGGAAGAGAAAGAAGATAGCACCATCTTTGGGGCTCCAAAGACACCATCGGTCACTCTTCATGACCCCCTCCATCCCACTGGCTCCTGGAGCCTGAGTTACACGGTCCCCCACTGTAACCCCTACCTCACAAGCACCACTAACACCCTTGCTCCCCTCTCCCTCACCAAGCCTGTGTCCACCCCTCCATGTCTACACCCAAACATTGCTGGGGAGAAAGACTCCCCATGTGGTTCCCAGGGCCTGGGAGGAGGGGACATCAGGAGTTACCAGTTCATGGTTGCAGAGTTTCAATTTGGAACAATGAACAAGTTCTGGAGAAGGATGGTGGTGACGGCTGCACAACAATTTGAATGGACTTAATGCCACCGAACTGTGCACTTGAAAATGGTTAAACCAGTAAGTTTTGTGTCATGTACATTTTACCACAATAAAGAGTTAAAAACACACTCAATGTTGTTGCCTGGTGTCACTTCAATTTCAAGTACACAAATAGAAAGAGGACATCTGACACGGGCCATCAATCCTAATATATTGGGTTGGCCAAAAAGTTTCTTTGGGTTTTAACTAAAAGTAAAAGACACACTTTTCATTTTCACCAAGAACTTTATTGAACAACATATTCATTATTTTGTTCCACTACCTTCTGCAACTTCACAATTCCATCTTCCCAAAACTTTTTATCTTTTTGAGCAAAGAACTGTTCCAGGTGCCTTTTACAGTCTTCCAGGGAATTGAAATTTTTTCCATTAAGAGAATTTTGTAAAGACCGAAATAAATGGAAATCCAGAGGTGCAATGTCTGGCAAGTATGGTGGATGAATCCAAACTTCCCAGCCAAGCTGTAACAGTTTTTGCCCGGTCATCAAAGAAACATGCGGTCTTGGGTTATCCTGATGGAAGATTATGCGTTTTCTGTTGACTAATTCTGTACACTTTTCGTCCAGTGCTGCT